TTGTGAGCTTCGGGGCGAAGGGTTAGCGGTTTCGATAAGACCCAACTCGTGAATGACACAATACGACTCACGTCACAGCGAGCATCTTCTGGTGAGCTTGCTTCAAGGCATCGACTCGCTTCTCGAGATCAATGTAGTCGGGAGGAAGCTGGGTCTGTGATGAGCGAAAACATCTTATTAGCACATGGCCTGAGGAAATTAAGATGCGCTTCGACGATGGGTGGGTTGGTGACCTTATCATCGGCCTGGCCAAGCTGTTCCTTGGTGAATTGGAAAGTGCGGGAAGCAAATGGGGTGATCTGAGCCCCCAGGTCGCTGGTTGAGCGAACTCGTTAGCCTGATCCGGCATTGCAATACGAGATACCGGTGAGAGGAGCGTCAAGTTGGAGGCTTGAACGTAGAAGAGGCGGGGAAGCCACTTACCTGAAGCCCTTGCCCAAGCTCTTGAAATCCATTTTGATGGCTGCTACTCTTTTGCGACAACGGGTTCAGTGGTAGGGAATGTGGGCGAGTAAAGGTTTGCGACAGATATGATGACGAAAACGGGCGCTTGCGAAAGGGTCGCGATGCGGGTTGCTGTCAGAAGAGGATACGATGGAGAAAGGGCATTGTGGAGGCTTTTGGACATAATAACTCCAACTCTGTCCAAGGGATTGTAGGGTGGGTAAGGCAGTACCTGATGTGCTAACCTAGAGTACCTGCGTCAGCCTAGCAGTACCTGTACCTTACTTTCCTGGCCAGAGCTACGTGTACGCAGCGCTGCTAGCGGTAATAGTACATCGCTCAAGGGCTCAAGGGGTCACCTACGGACCTCACCCCTGTCTAAAAGGTAAGGTCCATAATGTAGTGTGCTAAGATTAGCAGGGCTCGCCCGTGCTACGCCAGGAGCTAGCCCGTTGTAGCCTCTACGTAATACAGACGCAGTGCTCTCTAGCACTTCAAACATGACGGCTGTGCTTCTGGTCCTTTGTTTCATTGGTTCAAGCTTAAGGGCAATAGTGACTGCAAATCTCCTATTATTGATCCCTGGTGTGCTTTGAAACGGCCCCTAGACCACTCTTATAATAGGTGCCTTTTTTGCTACAAACGCGCGATAAGGGAAGTCTTCTTATCACACGAAGCCTCTGTCACATGTTATCAAGTAGCGTCACCACAACGAGCCACCTGCAGCGTGGGAATATGCACATCACTTGACCTGTGATGGGAAGCTGTCTACCTGGGTTTCTCATTCGCACTACTCGAACCTCGATGAAAGGGCGCATAAGGAAATCCAGGAGGTAGTATCGGGGACTGTCCATACACTTGTGTTAAAGAAGGTACCTACCTAGGTAGGCATGAGAACACAGGTTTTTCGAATATGCGCATTGTGTATACGCATCACATGCTCTATCTTAGATAACCTATTACCAAATGTGTTTTCTTAATCCAAAATGTGTTTGTTATCGGCCCAAGACGGCTCAACACGGCGACAGACAGATTCGTAATCTCTGAGCGTGACACTCCCACCATCCAAACCCAAACTCGTCCAAAACATGGTCCAGTTGCTATCACTCAGCTTGTTTGTTCCAGTAGACCGTTCAAAGTACCACTTATTCACTGGGTTGTTTTTGCGGCTTCGCCAACAGACCCCTTTCGGGAAGCAGTCGTTCACCATAGCGCTGAATACGACGTCTGCTACACCGCCGCTGCCCTGGCGGCTCCTCAGAACGGCAAATTTGTCAAGGTATGGAACAAGACGTCCTTGTGAATAGGCCTCCTTGTCATCGAGGCCTTCAGGGGTCTCCCAGGTCAAGATGGCCCCTCCCTCGTATTCGCCAGCGATAATGATGCCAGCAAGATTATCTTTGACACGCTCAAGATAATGCTGTGCATCAAGTGCTCGACCAAAAGAGTCTTCAATTAAGTAAATCAAGCGTGGTAAATCGATGCTTGTATCAGTAAGCCGCAGACGGGGCTCACCAGGCCGCGGAGACTCCCAAGGGGAATCTCTGGGGTTAGGAAATATCGTCACAGGCATCCCGCGTTTGACAAGTGTTGCGGCCAACGAGAATCCAGAATTCTCGACGGCATTTTCGGCGCCGTCTGGCACTCGTTGGACGGGTAATGATGAGGAGAACACTGGCTTGTCGGTGAGGAGGTTATGCAGAATGGGATTCCGTCGTTTCCTGGTCTTGACCATACCATCAAACCCAAAATCCTTGGGCGCTTCTGCCACCCCTGGTCTGGCAGAGGCATTGGGGTGGCGACTGTTTCCACGACCGGCGGCTATCGGGGTTGTGAGGATGGCGGAGGACGAAGAGGGCAAGATAGAAAGCGCCTCTTTGACGAGTCTCAGATTCGAAGCATGACCGGTACCCGACGCCTTGACGTATCCATTACTGGCTACCGGAGAGCCCTCCGGGCCAACAAGTTGCCTCATAAGATCATCGTATTCTTGTTCCAAATTTATAAACCTATGGGAGGCACCGGGGCGACCAGCAACTGGAGTGCCTCCCAGTGGGTCAAGGACAATAATTCTTTCAACCGATGCGAGTTGTCGTGGACGCGGAAGCTCCTTGGATGGCGAGTAAGTCTCGGTTGATCCGGGAACAGGAAGCTGTAGTCCAGAAAGGTATTTTGCCAAAGTGATGATAAGTTGATTCGCATCGGCTGGGTGCTGTGCTGAGACCTCATCTGGGCATGCTAGGCTTTGAATAACAGGAATCAAGCCGTGATTCAAGGCAAGTCCCAGGCGCCCTTGATCATCGATGCGCATCTCATGCGACAGGGCAGACTGATTGTCGGAAATAATAGGTTGCTGCCCTATAGCAATGTTCTCCATACTTTTAGACCCAGGCCTTGAGAATGAGTCAATGACTGAGCACAACCTGAAAGCCTGGTCACGGAACAGTTCACGGTTATTCTCAATACCGCAATCTATAACGACGACACTAAGAAGCCCTAGAACTCGAAGTTGGAAAAGAGTTTTCGCAACACCGAGCAACACATCGCCATCAAGGAGTTGAGGGTCGCGGAGCTTGACAATTGCAACATTTGGCTGGTGGGAGTCGGAAGAGACAGGTTCATTCGGACCGTCCTGGAGCTCTTCATGCCTGAATTCGGGGACTTTCGTCAGGGATGTATTTTCCTTCGAGGTGTATTTTTGTAAATAGCCTTTGGCATCTCTTTTGGTGGCCGATACTTCGAGAACCGAGACAATGGTGTCCTACATTGGACCGAAGAAATATTAGAATCAATATTAGAAAGCCGAGGACGGGAAAATAGCGATTGGGGTCTGGGATATACGCACAAGATCGAGAGATCGCTTGTTGCTGAGACCTGGCCTTGGTGAGGAGAGCCACCTTACCGCCGATGTCGGGGTAAAATTTCGTGCTGCACCTCTCGCATGGTTGGTATCTCGCTGTAGGTAGGAAAAGGTTCGGCAATTGGGCATGGAAAAGAGGCCGACTTGATTTGGAGGCCAACTATGGCCGCAGCTTGCCGTCCCTCTCCATGCCCGAGCTGAAATCATGCCTGAAACGGGTGGTCGGCGAAGCCAGTGCTGAGGTGACTACCTGAGGTAAAAAGCTGCGGCCGGAGGAACACTACAACTATAGCCTAATCATTGTAGGAACGAGAGGAGAACCGGAACTGAGGTTGTTATATATGTGTGACAACACTAGAAAGTCAAGACTGGGCAGAGTGTGTGTGGTATCCGTGAGTCAAGCTGATCGGAGCTGGAGCTACTCTTCTTTGACGGGAGTTGCTGCAACACTCCGCACTGAGGTACCTGCGATAAGATAAGGGAACCGCTCCTCATTACTACCTAACTTATATTAAACCATTGAAACTCATGTTGGTGTCTATCATAGTTTCATTGACTACCTATAGCCGAAGCGAAGCAATCTCGAAAATGCCAATGTACCATTTTGAACCTCTTGATTCTGAACTTGATCGTGCGCGGGACCTTCCCTGATGAGAGTGATCGGCACATCGCATCCATCACATGGAAGATGGGGTCTTCTTACTTTATCAATCTACAGGTACTTTAATCATGCAATGTGATCCTCTCCCAGCCGGTTGCATTCGCCCTTGTGGAGACTGAATGCATGTTGCAGAGTCCCGGCCATTGATGAATCAACAGCATCTCCGCTCCCCTCTGGCGACTTGTTGAGAGGCGGGCGCGCTTAGCACCATAGTGGAATAGTTCGCACTCAACGGGGAGGCAGTGAGCGACAAGGGAAAATGCCATGTAAGAGACTCATAGGCTAACGAAAACATTGTCAGTTAGATGTATCCTCTGGCTATCAATGGATCCTAATCATTAGTGTATATTTCGTCTGAGCCGGTGTGTTTCCAATAGCTGTCTTGCTTGTTTCCTTGTTGTTTGGAAAGTACTACTATGCGGGGAATTTGTCGCCGTACATTACTAGTAGTAGTACCTTACCAGGGAATAGCGAGTGTCGACGCTGCCTGCGTCACTTGTGCAGCAGTAGACGAAAATAGCTTAGTACTTCAATGCTTACTAGGGGGTTACTCAGCGCCGGCCAGGTACCAGATTTGATAGAACATACCACATGTTGAAGATGGATGTCCTCACCCGATTCCTCAAAAGCGAAAGCATCCGGGCATGTAAATAATTAGGAAGGTAGGTAAGGTAATTAATTGACTAGGTTGGACATTATTTATTATTTTATCTGCCTAGGTACTTCAGTACAACAGTGGGTAGGTATGCTGTATTCCTCAAAGTGCGATTGACATCATGCCTTGATATAAAAGGATATATGACTAAGCCGCCGACGCCAGATCTCCTGGCTGGAACGCCCAGGCTGGTGTCAATCAACACCAAACTTGCTTGATTGTCTGAACCAGCGCTGAGAGCTCCAAACTCTTTCGAACCCCTTGATTTAGATACGGAAATCGACCGACGGTGCACTTCGCAATGGCTCAAGGGTAGATTTGCCAAGCGCACCCCTAATTTGATTCCGAACCGAGCAGCTGATCCTTCTCCCCTGGCTAGGTACTCCGTCTTCATCGGCCTCGTTGTCGTCGTCGCGCTTTGCGTAGCGTCTTGGTTCCTCTCTCCCAAGGGCGAGAATCAAGTGTACGTCCTACTTAACTGCTCTTCCACCCCAAGAGGAGGCCACCGCTTCATAATCCTTAGGACTAACCGATCGCTTCTATAGCCTGTGGCGTTCTTCCCTCATCCTCTCCGTCGTAAGCTGCTATCTCATGTGGGCTATTACGTTCCTCGCCCAGCTTCACCCCCTCATCGAACCCCGAAAAGCCCTGAGCGAGGAATTCTGGGAGCATTAGGATCAATGATTTGAAGAGTCTGGAGACGATTGTGGAGGCGCGGGAAGGCATGGACGCGCATAGCTGTTGCACAGCCGAGTTGTACAATTACACTACCATTACTGCAACCATCATCGACCGACTGCCCGATGAGATGATTTTTTGTTCATTAAACGGCGTTATTTGGAGCGGCGGGATCGACACTATATAACCTAGGTCTGAATCAAGTTTCTGCCTGTACAGGTCACATATACATACTGGCGTTTCTTCTTCATCTTGACTGACTCCAAACCGGCTCATTCTGGAGTTTGTGACGGCGTGTCTTTCGTAGCATCAAACTATCCTACAGCTAAGCGACCAGCCCATTGCCTCAAATACGTGACCAAGGCCCAAAGCGCCTTTCCATCGGTGGCCACGGTGCTCTCGCTTATCGAGTCGACGTCTCCTAACCCAGCTGCGCTCAGAACCATGCGCCCAACTATCCATCTAGCGGCTGCCCCGGAAATGGCCAGAAAGCACGCCGTGTAGTATTTACAGTCCAAAAGAATGCGGAGTGCTTCGACATTGTTGACTACGACAGCCCCGCCGAGGTAGCGAGCCGCAGCTGGGACATCGTGGTACTGCCATATCACCATGAGTATGGGGAAGAGCTTGGTGGATGAGGAGACGAGAAGAGCGGTCGAAACCGAATTAGGGCGGCCATAACGGCGAAGAATCCCCGTGAAGTTGAGAGGGGAGAGGGCTGAAGACGTGAGGAAACGGATGCTAATGTGAAAGGCCGCTGTGGACAGAGCACACAGAATGACTGTTTTGCGAAAAGATAGCCAAACCTTGTTAGCTACCATAGCTTAACATGTCCAGACAGGATGATGATCGCGAGGGGGTAATAACATACGGAAGAAAAGATATTGTAAAACGATGGGCTGCTGGGCCAATCTCCCAAGATTGCTTCCGCCTGGCGAGGATTCAGGGATAGACTGCCTCTCCATTCGAGCCCACGTTAGGTAGACATCGAAGAGCAGGAGAAGAACGCCAAGTCGTATGATAGAGGGCTATTCGTTTCAGCTATACCAGAACTTTTCCTTCTTCAAGTGAGGAGGGAGCTACTCCAGAGACATACATCAAAGCGATCGCCATCTCGCATCAGGGTATTGTGCAGCAAGTGTCGATAAACCTGGTTTTGTCTAGGCATCAGCTGCTTTGGGCTTCTCCTAAGTAGATGATCTTGAAACATAGCAATACGCACTTGGGGTTTGATGAGAACCAGGTCAATGAAGAGAACAACAAAGTCGTGTTCGACATACTTGTCGCAAAAGGAGCCGCATTTTCGACAGACTGTTAACCGAATGTTGTGTCCACTCGACTTGTCATCTGCACCCGAGTAGGATGTCCACAGAGTCCTAACTGGATGTCGACACTCAATACAGATGGGCATTGGATCCGCTGTTACTCATAGCAGTCAGAAGGGCTCCGTGCAGCGGCTGTGAGGTCTGAAGCTCGGCTTGTGCTGCATCACACGTCAAGCTCCTGATCGCGGTGGGTAACAACACTATCGATAACGCCACACTGATCAAGCCACATCTCACCAGCTACCACCTACCTGCCTTGGAAGTAGGTACTGATCATCTGCCCTTGCCGGCGCCTCGACATGTGCACGTTTGATTACCGTCAAAAGAACATAACTTATTCGGCCTGATAGTCATGACCGTTACGAGAACATTTTTATTGTATGCTGTGTTGGCTGCAGAGCGCCTAGTGCTTTGACTATCGCCCAAATTTTTCGAGCATTAAGTTATATCTGGAGATATAACATGCTGGCTTCTATGTACCTATTGTATAATACTAATAAGACTCCTGGCCATCAAAACGCCCACATCCTGAAGCGACTGATGCGAGAAAATCGAAATAACAATAATGCTGCTGGAAAGGCCTAGGTACCAACTATTCCTTGGACATGCGCCAGGGTGAAAACCCACCTCTCCCAAACTCTCGCCACGCTGTGCTGATGCGGAACAGAACATAATCAATCCGACTTCTTATCTCTACGGGTCTCTGCCGTAGACCTTCCTCGGAGGGAGCCCATGCCCCCATCGTTTGGGCCTGGCGAGCCAATCGAGAAACCGCTCATCATGTTTGCAACTGAACCAGAAGGCGCGGGGACATCGTCGCTTGTAGCATCTGTGAGTTCTATAAGGTCCCCGGTACCGTCTACCCCCAGCTGGTTACTCCCTGATCTAGATCGAGCCATGAGGAGGGGTGTTCCTGGGGCCTTGGCGAGGGCTCCTCGTAGCCAGGTTTCTACAGCAGCTGCAGCACGGTCTAATCCGGTTCCTTGCCGGCCAACAGACGCAGCATCCCTGCCTTCCTCAAATGGGCTCTCAACCAGTTCGCCTGACTCTTTCGAGAAGCCAAAATGCGCCGTCTCCGAAGCCATAATGGACATGGAGGGTCCGTCAATACTGAGGCCGGGAATATTCTTCTGCGCCCATGTGTTGATATAATCGGAATCGGGGCCCGGCGACTTTACGTTCTTCCCCATAGTCCCGACGCCTCCGGGACGTCGCATCCACAGAGGTCTCGTGTCTGGTGAATCGCTACCTGGACGGCTGCGATTGAATAGTGGTGTGCCGGGCATCTGAGGCCGGTTGCTGAGAGAGCTGAGCCGTCGAGGCGACATTCCGTCGACGGACGCTGGACCGGTTTGAGAGACTTCTACGCTGTGCCTGGGAGTGGAGAACGAAGATGTGGTCCTAAGACTCTTCCTCCTTCGTGGGGGGAAATATCCCATAGTGCCCCAGGCTACTCGGGCTATTTCAACCGGCGCTGGCAGCGAATCAATTTCAACCCATCTCACGTGTGTCCAGGGCTTGCTATCATCCAACTGTCCCTCCTCTCCATCGGGTACCTTGGTTGATCGGCTGTAGAAATCATCATGCGTCCCTATATCAGTAGAGGTGTAGTTGTCTTTATGAGATGGAGAGGTGACATGATGGGTCGGCTGTGAAGTTGGGGGATCGCAGGGCCGACCGCGAAGATCGCAGGCGTCCACAGGAATTGTGAGCCATTTTCGAGTTTGAAGGCTGTCACGGGACCACAAGCCATTGGCCTTACGGAAAGCATCCTCCCCGCATTTGTACCGAAGAATGAGTCCCGCATAAGTATCCTCGGGCTGAACTTGGTGAACGTAGACGAGGTAATCTTCCTGGTGGCGCCGATTGGTGTTGTGCTCGTCTGAGTTTCGGCGTTTGTATCTCCCCAAAATATCTAGACCGCCATTGACGCCATCGTGACTTTCGAGAATACTCGCGGTGCGGGCAGCCTTCAGTGCAGATTGCCTCTCGGCAATGTCCACCCCAGGTCTCTGATCTGGAGGAAGAGGGCCCCATGCCTCGGGAACCTTCCGACCTCTATTATCCATTGAAGGGGATTTGGGTAGTTGTGGCCTGCTGAGGCCGTTGGAAGGACTCAACAAGCCCCCCCTCTCGGCATTCTCGTTCCCAGTCAAAAGGGTGCTGGTAAGATCTTGAACTGAAGACCAGCCTTGATTCCAGGTGTCGTTGAAGAACTGGCCCAGATTACCCGGTGAGGGGCTTCTGTCGTGGCCGACATGTGAGCGATCGCGAGGCGCTAGAGGGCTCGGGGCACGGCTACTCAAAGGACTGAGTGCAGCCAGAAGTCCGCTGGCTAGGGTTGTAGATGGAGCGGAATGAATAAGGGGCCGCTCATTGCTGTCTTGGGACAGATCAAGTACGGGTGGTTGAGTGCGAGATCGAGTCGAGCTTGAAGCCGGTGAGTTCGAGTTCGAGGCGTGGGAGGACGTCTTGGCCAGTACGGTACTGCCCCTGCCGGTCATTATGGTCGTGAACGAGACGACAGCGGCAGGTCGCGATTACGGCGGTTGCTTTGCATCAGTGCTGGGGTTCTCGTTGCCAATGCGTCTAATTGGACGCGAGGCGCGACCCTGAGGAAGGAGGATAGACCCAGAATGGGTACAGCAGACGAGGGAGATCGGGAGAGAGAAGCCTAATGTGGAATGCTGGATAAAGTGACGCTGCTCACAAAAGGGGGGGAGTAGAAATCGAGGACAGTTGCCCTAATATCGGCCTGGAGATACCTATAGATGGATGGATCAGGGGGGGTTTTAGGGGTCGAGATGAAACATTACTCAGTATGGCCTAGCAAGAACCATACATAGTGAGGTTGGCGAATGGTCGTCGATGGCAGGGAGCTGGAGGTGGATGCGAAGGGTGCTCACAGGACGAGAGAGTGTGTGATTGCCATTTCACCTGGATGACATCGAGGCTCGTCGATGAACCCAAGGCCAGCTGCTCCCGGAGTGGCGGCTGCTGAGTGCCTGTAGCGGGGCTGATCCCCGCCCCCAAAACCAGAGGGCTTACGTAGTCAATCCTGGCGAAGGAATACTAGTAAGATATGTTGCTTTAGAATTGCAGGTGGCTTATTAGTATTACTATAATTACCTTGCAAGACAACTAATTCAGTGGGGACCATGCGACCGCGATTAGTGCACCCGCTTATTTATTGTGATACGATAAGGTACTTTGTGGTTGCCAGAGTGGGTGGGTGGTGCAATAATACGCAACGCTGACCTCGAAATCAAGAAGTGCCAAAGGAATACATTCGGACTGTAGTCATGTAGCGGAAGCTGAGCCTCCTGGAATTCATTGTGTCCCTTTTGACTTTCAGCCACTTATGTGAGTGAGTCATCCTGGATTGTTTGACGCTTTTTTACATTGAAGATCGAGCACCCGCCCCTTCAATGTGATGCAAAAACTCCCGACATGTTTTCATTTGAAACCATCCATGTCTTTATTCATTTGCTTTCGCCATTTGCCCATACTTTCTTATGCAAATACCTCCTAGTCGCTTACACATTGCTCCATGTGAAAAGGACTGAAAGATCCCTCCCGACTATTACAAAGGCATATCAAGGTTGCCGTGACCTGCGTCGCCATTTATACCGAAAAACTGGAACCTGCAGTCTTATGTTAGTTCCCCGTCTACATATCAATCAGGTTCGTAACAGAGTGCAGTTGTAGCGAGGGGTAAGTTGGAGAGAAACGAGGCGAAAGCTTCGGGTGCATTCTGGGAGAGGTGGACCAACCAGTCTTCTACGTTGAGTGTTGTTGGAACTGGTTGTCCAGGACCAGACCCCGTGCTCCAGCTATCTGGGCTTTGTTCATCATTCAGGCCGCCACCATCGACATGTGACTGCCACATGTTTGCAGAAGCTTGGAATCCTTGCATTCCAGGGGGGAGCATTCCAGCCCCTTGCGCAGCTTGGTGGAAATCATTGGCGGCCTGCCTTGGTAATCCACCGGCTGGCATGGTTGGCGTTGGCATCTGTGCCATGAGATTGTGCCCCAGGTTCTGGTGCGCCTGGGTAGGGGACAGATTCGGAAACGCGGGCATAGCCGAGCTATCTGGAAAGAGCTGGTCCGGCTGGAAGTTTTCTAAGAGCGACTGTGAGAGATTTGGTGAGTTCCTCGTGACCAAGTAGAGATCCGGTGGAGTTGCCGGTACAGAGAACGAGGGATTGAAAGGTGTGGCTGGTCTTGTATGTGGGCGAGAATTCGTGCCACCCATGAAGGCATCTGCAGGAGCTTGACGTGAGTGGGGAGAAGTCATCAGGGTGGGCCCAGGCGGCTGTGGTAGTGGGTTATCGTTTTTCAAGCTTGGTGTCTGCGGCCTTGAGCGCTCATACGACTCATGGGGTGTGGGTGCATTCGACGTGAAGTCAATTGCCATCTCATCGTATTTCCTCTTTGCTGCCTCGGCATTTTTCAGCCCCATATCTTGTGATAGGCTTTGGTGAAGGTTTCGATGCCGTTTACCAGCCGCCTTCTGTAGCCGCTCCTCCAATCCTTTGTTCCCGATGATTGCCTCAAATAGGGTGCATATGGTTTTGCCAACAAGCCATACCCGGGATACATCCTTCATTGCACTCAAACAACTGCGCAGGCGATCCTGGGTTACCTGCTGAATGGATGGCACTGGGGAGCGCATTTGATAGACGTGCATGATTAGAGCCGAAAATAGGCTATAAACGATGAATGCAGGACAGTATTTCAACTCCCCGTGTGCAGCAAGATTTTCAACTATAGATGTAATCATTGCTGCAGCCTGGAACGCAATGTTGCGAGAGGGATATGGTGATTCAGCTTGGAAGCGGCTTGAGTTGCTGGGTGGCATATGTGCCCGGTGAAGAAGGCAGAGCGTCGTATAGTAGTTTGAATGCAAGAGAGCGGACCAAAAATGGTGTCTCGGGACCTCCCAATATACAATCTTGGGGCAATTCTGGAGCCAGTCGGCTAGAGCCATATCACTATGGGTCAAGTCGATTGCATTCCTGTGCCTTCCTTTCGAAGCAACAGAGTACTGCTGTGACAAGACGAGGCCGGTAATCTCGCACAATTTGACGTACTGGAGGAAAAATTGGATGTGAACAGGGTCAGGAGGAAATTCCCCACCACCGTCTAGCTCATCTTCGTAAAAGTCCTCCTCAGTCAACATCTCTACATCTGAATCATCAAGACTGATGCTGATAGGACGGCCTAGGGCAACAGAGACCGAGCGATCACGGGTGAAGAGCGTCCACCAGACACGCTTCCAAAGCCTCTTATCAGATTTGCTCAGTTGGGATTGCTCCACGCTCCTGTGCATGCCAGAACCCTGGGCAACGACGATTGCCACCCGAGTCCAGTAAAACACATTATTGGTGACATCCTCTGGTCCTTCCCAGTACCACCCCATCAGAAGCAACGATTGCACAATAGTTACACGGTCATCTTCGTAGTTGGCATCATAAAGGGCTTTGGCTCGTTTGTAAAAGGTCAGAGCAGCAGGGTTGGTGGAGCCATTTGCGTCCATCAGCTGAGAATTATCGCAAGCCCTGGAGCCAGCCAGAAGCACGGCCTGTAGGAGGAGTAGTGATGGAGGGTTCTTCGGGTCGCGATATTGACGCATAAACCGAGAACGGTCGATGACAGGAACGATGGGGTGAACCCATTTGAAGTATGCTTCGATGAGTTCATCACAAAGCGCTCGAGGTGGCAAGAGAAAGGCTCCTCTCTGATGAAGTATCTCAATCTCGACATTATCCAGCGCCGTCAGTCTTGCCCGTGAGCCCCTGACATTCTCTGGAAGTGGGTAGTGGACGACATCAGACGAGCCTTGTCGGTCGTGGACGAGAAGAGTCAAGTTCGAAGATTCGCCTAGGTGAGCCACTCTCCCAGCTTCGGTAATAGGCGCACGGGTGAACTTGGGCTTCATTATGATGTTCACGTCCCCTCCGTTGTCAGCTTCGCCCCTCTTTTCCTGATCATCTGGTTCGACCAGTGACAATGGGGTTTGGTCGAGGTGTGATACGGGAGGGACACTGCGAAGCTGAAAATTCGACGAGGTGGCATACTGTGGTCTATCATCGATGGAGTCGGCCCCTCGATCACTTTGGCTTTGAGAGAAATTAGCAATTGACCACCATTGTATCTCCCCGACAGCTGGAAGGCGGCCAGATATCCAGGATGCCGACGGGGGGAGGGGTCTGGAACGGTACCTGTCTGAATCCTTGCCCGCCTGAGCGGTACCTGCAGCAGCCGCGGCATTCTGAGTTTTCTTTCGCTTTGGCTGAGGGATGCGACATTCTATCTGGAACGCGACGCAGTTGGTGCACGGCACACCGAGACTAGCAGCGTCACATCGAACCTGCGATGGGAAGGAGTCGAAGGTTAGTCTTGGATATTTGGAGGAGGGCCGGGAGACGAGGGGTTGTACCTTGCGTGCATGGCAGGTCTGTATATAAAAACCCGAGGAAAGAGTCGGTTAGCAAATACAGGTCTGGGGGGGGGAACGGTAACATCTCATGTTGGGTAATTGGTGGGCGAGGGGTGTTGTGATGTGATACTGAATTCATCATCTGGCGCAGCAATTGGCAGGGCAAGTAGCCAAACAGGTGGCAGAAAAGGCGGGACAACAGCCCACTTGATGGTCGAATTGCCTCGGCACATCAAGGGCCAAGATGGGGACCAAGGTGCGCGCGGGCGCGTTCAAACACAAACTCCCACTTTGAGGGTAGGACAACGTATATAAAAGGCACATACCTCACATGCTCTTGATGCTCGTTGTCTACAACCCGCGAAAAAAAGCACAGCAGCCAAAAAGTCAGCTTACCGCGACTCGAGAGCAAGTAGCAATTATGGGAAGGGGCTCAACACAACCCAGGAAGCATGCACGCGAAGCGCAAGCTCGACCATGGGAGGAGAAAGCAGAAGAAAGGGAAAAGACAAACCTTCGGAAGCTGGTTTGCCCAGCCGATGCCGATGAAGCATTACTGGGCGCTGTCGGGTCTGTTTTGGAGAGCGACTCGGAAAGCGACTGGAGAAGCTGCGACGACGAAGATGGGCGTGGTGGCTCATGGCCAGCCGACATGTCGACATCCATGGTGCCACGTCTGGGTTGCGCCCAGGCAGCTCGATGAGTCCGTTCTGCGAAAGTGGCCGGGTTTACAAGCTGTTTCCTTGTGCTTCCTTCTGTCGGACGAGAAGGAAACAAACCGCCCAGGCCTGGAGAGAGATCAATTCGACAGAGGCCCAAGGTAAGGGGAAGGGAAGGGAACTGGACTGGCTGGCTGGAGTGATATTGGGTGTCTCTTTAAGGTGTGGGCCGCTCTGGCAAGCGCCTCTGCAATGGTGTCCAGTTGCTGGTATCGCCTCAGGACGGGGACTCCAGACACGGCAGGAAATGGTGACGGAGGAGGTAGCCACGGCGGCGGTGGCATTTCATTTGGGTGCGTGGAGAGGTAGGTACCTGATTGCTGGCACTTGCTTGCCGTAGTGGACGTGCTTCAAGCAGGTCCCAAGTGCAGGTACCTGCTTGGGCTAGTACTTGAAAACCCCACGGGCCGATCAAATGTTCATCAACACATCCCGCCTTGTTTTCGCCTTTTCCTCCACCGGGGGCTGTTTTCATTTCTTATTCATATATTTATATATATTACCTTTTCCTTTCATCCGGCTCGTGTCTCTTCCCCAAGATGGAAGAGGGCTAGCAGGCGAAGGAGGGCGGCAGAACGTTATACATACACCCAGACTCGAATGGGTCGGGGATTCAATCCCTCCACCCACCCCTCTGTGCTTTTTAGTGGCCTCATGCTGAGACCCGCGTTTCGAGAACTCGCGACACGGCCCCTCCCTTCCCCGAGCATCCGGACTGCCTGGTCGACCAGGTTGGAGGGCGACTTGATAAATGGCATGCGCGCTGTTGCGATGGAAGGCCGGCTGGAAGATGCACACCTAATGCGAATTTCTGCGTAAACCTGGTTCCTGTCACCTGACGTATGTCTCTATTCAGTGTTCGACGGTGTGTAGTTTACCTAGGTAGGAAGTTTGTTCACATTGATGTTTCAAGTCATCTCATATCGCTGTGTACCTTGAACCGCTACGAGCTGCACCTCCATACCACAGTGAGTGCCCACGTTAGGCATTGGTAATCGTTCACCTTCTATTTGTGTTTCTAGGGCCCCCGTGCTAGTGGCATCTGAATCTGGGCCTTGGTATTTATTCGAAGCACCTACCTAAGAACATTACCTACCTATAAGTAGGTAGCTCCCAGGCTCTTACGGTAGGTATGGTAGGTATGTGCGGATAGGCACAGCCAGAGGCTGCCATCCATTGTGGCACTTTTTTCTTGACCTCAATATGATCACAATCAGAGCAGCTCGGCGAAGGGCATGAAGGGCTAGACCTCGCTGATCTAGCAAGGCTACCTGCAGCAATCTCACCGTTCTCACCCCCACACAGCCCCCTCGGTGGCATTCCCTTTCACCTGGGGCACGAGGAGGGGAGATGATGACCGTTGGTGCCTGGGTAGGGAAGTCTGTCTGGTATCACCAACTGCGAGTTAATCACCATGACAAAAGAGGTAGATGCATGCCAAGCAAGCAACACGCAGCCCAAATCTCCCCTCATGACCAGCTCCAGTTGACGAGCCAAGCGGCGCACGCCCCCTCGGATCACACATGATCGCTATGGCCTCTTCATTTTCACATGCTAACAGTCGGATGTGGGCACAACAGCACATGCTTTGTTTGGTGTTTGGCTGACGCCGACCCGTCAATGATTGGCTACGGCTTAGCTGCATTACTTGGCGCCGCTGTTGCTCAAATGTACGTCCCTACCACGAGGACAGATGATGCAGACAAGCGAAACCCCGGAATTTCAAGGTTGTCTTGTATCTTGTACTCCGTAGTTCCCCGCAACTCCTGGCGTGGTCCCACACCCTCCAGATGGGCATTACGGAGGTGAGGCCCTCAATAGGACAATTTTTGCTCATAGTTGAGCACTGGAGGGCGGGGCGTGTGTATAGTATTTTCCCCTTCATTTGCTAAGGGGGCTGACTCGCCTTCCAGCTGTGCCAACACGAAGAGTCATCTATTCCTTTTAAACTGCCCTGGCTAAACCAAACCTCGTACCCGCCTTGCATCATCTCCGGCAGGAAGCCAGGCTAGTGAAAATGCTCGCTACGTACCTAGTCGGCGTGACCTCGTCCCACCCACGCCGTTGATTGATTTACCCAGGGCTGAATGTGGAGTTGAGAGTAGCATTCGAGAAAGTTGCGACATCAGTAAGGCGCGAATACTCGAATATCGGCGTTGGAAAAACTATAATTGAAAATTCTTGCTCTAATTGCTATGTGTATCCTTTGTAGTCAGGCTGTCGCCTAAAGCGCGCCTGTCTCCGATGGCTTGGAAATGAGATATCCCGCCAAAAGTTCTGATGTGCCTGGTATATTTTGATCAGATTGTAGATTGACCCTGCAATATTTGATTTGCATTGTCCAAACTTTAGTATGTCTATGAGCTTTTTGGTGCTGGCGTGTCATGGATTGTCACGCCCGCAATAAACATGGCACTAACACCCTCCAACGCAGCTACAAATGAGCACATAAGGCTGGCGATTGCAAAGTGACTAATGGTGGATCCGATTTCTAGCCAAGATCCCTCATCCTTGACAACCCAGAAAAAGTAGAGAGTCAGAATGTCGCTCAGCGCCATGGCCAACATGAAGAGAGCCGATGGGGCTACCCCCAAACGTTTGTTGAGTATTCCTAGGTTGGCTGAAATGAGCGCGAAAGGAATAAGAATCTTAACAATAAGCAGTGCTCCCTGTGAGAAAGGATCAAACACGGGAATCAGTCGAGTAACACTTTCAAGACTGAAGGTAGACACTGATGCCACATTGCCAGTGCTGAAGAAAGCTGATTGGAGAAGGACCAAGAAGAACAGGCCGATCCTTGCGTCAGAGAGTTGTAGAGGTCTAAAGAGAGGGGGGGGAGCTTTCCCATTGGGTTTCGCGTGGCCATTCTGCGTATGGCGCGTCAAAGAAAAGCTTTGCAGGCTGTATTCAAGGCGCAACCAGGTGAAAAGGGTGAGGGAAAATGCGACATAAAATAAACCTTCCCAAGAAATGGCAAGAATGACAAATGTCGGGGCGCATGTCAAGAAGATTACGGCCAATCGGTGAATGTAATTGGAAGTTGGTTCAAGCCGGTAGGCAAGGGGGATCAAAAATGAAGTGACTGCTCCTGTTAGTTGCTATTTCGTACAAGAGAGATCACGCAGAAAGACAAAACAAGGCGAGAGATGGACAAAAAGAGAATGAACGTACCCAGTACTATCCACCCCGTGATCTGATTACCAAGTGGCAGACCATTCTTGGCTTGCAGTGATAGTACGCTAGACCGAGTGACAAGCATTGAGAGTATTATCAGACCGATCTGAGTTTTGTTAGTGAGTTGAGTAACAAAACGGCATGACCCTGCCGGGGGATTCCTACCTGTATGCCGACCAACGTCCTTCCGATCAGGGAATTCTGCTTTGCTTGTGTGGCTTTGCGTGTCCAGGAAAAGTCGGCCAGCACGTAATCTTCCATTGAAAGATAAAACAGTCCAACCAGAACCATAAGCGATCCTCCGGACAAACTGATGAAGATTAGCTACATTATAATTATCGGTTCCTGGAAAGCTATCCACTTACATTTGGTTTACGTCCTCTAGTTTGTTAGCTGGGAGGAGGGTGAACACGCTCATCACACTACACGAGACCACCCATGTCAAGCTGAGCATGGCATGCGATTTCAAGAAAGAGAATCCTTGGAATACCGGCCATAAAGCTCCAATCATATACAGACCAGTAAAAATTTCACGATGAATGTAGGCCAGAGCCTGAGACACGGGTCAGTTCGCTATACACACGCACTAAAAGGTAGGGGGGGAGGATTCACTCACTAGGGACTCAATAACAACCACATAAAGAATGGAATGAACGATCAAAGTCAGCCACGCGCCGAACGACTCGATATGCCCAAACAACTGTTTCCGGCCAAGTGAAAGACTGGCTCGTCGTGCGTAAACTTCCTCCCAGAAAAAAACTGGGAAAAATGCGTAGGCATAGTATGTTAATGGCGACTTAGAAATAACGAATGATGCATACAGGGCTGCAAGAATAGAGGTTGAGACAATGGTTCCGGTCCAGTTCCTTTGAGGTTGAATGCTTTGTTCTAAAACAAATAGGTTGATAACTATTGTGATGGCGTATGCCATCCAACCTAGGTATCCGATGGTGACGATACCCCTCAAGAACAACCAGTCGTATGTCTGGAGATATCGAAGACCTTGCAAAGTAATAGTAATCAGAGAATCGGTTTCTTCGATAGCTTCCTCGTATTTCCCAGCCTCGATTAGGCTGCGGATGCCAATGAGCCGCTCTTCAATAGTCCTCCCTTCCTCACTGAAGGTTTTATATGGACGAAATCTCAATTCAGTCGCCCGCTTGTTCTCTTCCTTCACCTTATATTGCTCGATAATACATTGAGCGTTGACTAAGACAGCCTCAGCCTTCTCACGATCATTTGCGGCAAGGAAGGATAGGGGTAATTCGCCGACAGAATTTGCGGGAAACTCAGTCCCAACCAGGTATGCCATTAGAGCGGCCACGTCGGCCTGGGCCACGTCATGGCGGCGTACATGATTCATGTTCCAGTCGGAAGAGTACTCATCATGGCCAGGTGCGACTGAGTCGGGGTAAAGGTGAGGTTTGGCTACTCCTGAACCCCATGCGATCAATGGTGTGCGAGTGTTGTCAGGGTGTCCATCTCCATGACTGCCCCAGTCACTCATTCCGTGATCTGCCGTGAATACAAATGCAGTTCTGTCATCGGCGTAGAAATTCTCGATAATTTGGGTAATCTCCTTCACTCCCTGATCAACAACCTGGAGATTGTGTAGATACTCGGCAGAATAAGGGCGATAGGAGTGGCCATTTGTATCAAGACCGAGCAGATGGAGGAAAAAGACAACCTTGTCCTCACGGAGAGCTCGGTTCAGAGTCTGATTCTTTGCTGCCTCGGAGAAAAAATCCCTGACATGGTCAAATACCCAATAGT